GAATTCGGTCCAAAACGGTACAGGTGGCGCCATCTAGCGGCGAACGGCGGAATTACGAAAAAATAAAATTTCGATTTTCTCAAAAACTAGGGTCTTTTCCGAAATTTTGAGATATACAAATTGTTCCTTGTCGCCTACGGAATCGAACGAATATAATTATAGCCTGCTAGGGCCATTATTAAGGAAAATAGAAAAATAGCCCAATTCATGGACTAAAAAATTGGCGTCCATCTAGCGGTGAATTACGAAAAAATAAAATTTCGATTTTCTCAAAAACTAGGGTCTTTTCCGAAATTTTGAGATATACAAATTGTTCCTTGTCGCCTACGGAATCGGACGAATCTAATTATAGCCTGCTAGAACCATTATTAAGGAAAATAGAAAAATAGCCCATTTCATGGAATAAAAAATTGCCGTCCATCTAGCGGTGAAAGTTGGAACTACAAAAAAATTAAATTGCGATCTTCTTGACAACTAGCGAATTTTAAGTACTTCTGAGGGGCAGAAATTGTTCTGTGACCTCTCTAGAATCTATATAATGGCACAAGAAGTACCTAAAAGCACTAGAAAAGGAAATAGAAAAATAGTCCAAAACATGGACAAAAAATTTGGCGTCCATCTAGCGGTGAAGGTTGGAACTACAAAAACATAAAAATGCGATTTTCTCGAAAATTAGCGAAATTTGAGTAATTCTGAAGCTGAGAAAGTGTTCGAAGAAAAATAAAGCAATAAAAGTTTTCTGACAGCTTTAATAAAGAAAATAAAAAAAATGTCATTTTATGGAGAAAATTTGTGGCGCCATCTAGCGGCAAAACTGCGAACTAAACTGAAAAACCGTATTCCCGAACAAGCGTTAAGGGGTCAAATAAAAATTGATTTTCTGGGCTTAATAGGCAAAACATGAGTAACTTATTCAACAAAAATTGCTTTAAAATGTCTAAAGAAGCATACTACGTCGTCAAAGTTGCGAAATATTACTTTTTATATTTTTCCTTAACGCGTGTTCGGACATACGTTTTTTCAGTTTA